TATATTTATTTTTATTTATATTTATTTATTCATTTGTAAATAATATATATGTAATATATAATATATGTAATATATAATATATGTAATATATAATATGCACCGCCTAAAATATAAATAGTAAGAATATTAATATATATATATATATAGAATCATCATTGTCATATAGCAGGTGAACATGGGAAAAAACGTTGCAGCAGTGGTCGACCCTGCAATAAGAGCTGATCCTGCCAGATATGGCATGCCACAAATTTCAACCATCACATGAATCAATAGCCGCTGGACCCTTCTGAATTATGGAATGCTGAATCATGCTGGATCAATGCAACAGGACCAAGTAGCAACTATCAAAATCAAAACGATACGATCACCAACCAAGCCCTGGTGATCGCATCCCCAGACCATGCATTAGTCAAGCATCCTCTGGCTTTGGACACTGGGTGCAGGAAGCAACCTTCACAGGCTCTCGGGAATGTGTATGCCTTTCCCCGCAATCGCAAGAAGGGGTTTGGCAAGTTCAGGACCTTCAAGACCAAATTTGAAGGCTCCTGCACAAATCTTGGGCAGCTTGGGCAGCTTTGGCAATGGTGGAATTTGGCACCACAAACTTCACACATGACGATTTCCCCATGAGCTTTCCAAAAGCCATTGATTGAATAATGACCACGAGAAAAGCAGCTCCGAGGCCAGCGGAGGAATGTTGCACTTGGCCCGGTACAGCAGGTAGGCTGCTAGCAATGCCTCGGCTTCAAGCAAGCACTCTTTAATCTAAAAAAGGCTTACTTGGAAATCAGAATGGGCAAACTGAGAATATCACAGCTGCGAATATCACCAGAAAAGGATAAGCGAAAAAAGGTGACCGCAATGGCAGCAACACCGACAACAACCTCCACCACTGCCTCAATAACACCACAAACACTGCAACAGCACAAGCAACAACAACCTATCCCAATCTCATTGCCAACCAAATGCGCTAGGGGCTCGTTGGGCTGGCACCCCTCTTAGCAAGAATTCAAGCAAGGGGATCAACTCCTTCTCAACTCCCCAGAAGCAGTTTTTCGCAGCCTTGGCGAAACGATGTCACATGCATTGTTTCACCACATGTAGCAATCCTGGCGGTTCTATTCATCTCGTTTGGAGGGCGCCCAGCTTCCACACTTCGCAGCCACAGGCTGGCAGCTTTGCTTGCAGAAATCGGAATCGGCGGCATTCTTGAGCACCTGCGCATTGGAACAGTGGTGGGATGGCAGAAGCTTAAAATCAACGCACTTAATGGCTGGCAACTTGAACTTAAACATCTGACCCTTGGGCGGAGAATTTGACCCTTCGTTGTTGCTCTGACCCTTGGGTGACCCTTGGAGGACAACCTCGCTCGGTCTCGCGACCCGGAGGCGTATTGCATGTGGCTATTGGGAATGTATTGGCAAGGGAATTGCACATCTCAATACGCCTCCTGGCCTTGAGCTCTGGAGCTTGGATTCAGAGGTGCAATACTCTTGTCAAACTGCGTTCCTTGAGTTTCGGTATTTGGATGGGAAAATCACGTCTCAATACGGGGGCTCAGCCTTAAGATCGACAAGCGTATTGCAAAGGGATGGAAGTCAAGGTTTTTTTTAAATCCGCAAGTTTCTTTTGCTTGCGCTTGCACAATCAGCCCACTCACGGTCTTGCGAATTTGCCAGACACTCCCCGAGACTGACGAAACACCCTGATGAATTTCAAAAAGCATTGCATGTCTGCCATTGAACCAATCCTCTTCACAGTGGTTCTTTTCTTGGCAGTGCTTGCAGTGGCTGCTTTGTGCTCCCCTATTGACAAGGACCAGCTTTTCACTCATTCCGGCACACAGCTTGAAAGCAGAAGTGAGGGTTAAAGACTTTCAGCTTCGACAGGTATTCCCAAGGCTCTCAAAAATCAATCAAGCCATCTGCGTTAGAGATTTTAAAAGACTTCATCGATGACAAAACTTGCTCAAACTGAGGTGGCGAGCTGCCTAGCTATATCGCCAAGCAAATGAATCTGCAAGCTCTTGGTCTTCATCGCTGGCTTGAACCATTGGAACTTGCTCAAATTCCATGAGCCACGTGATGTTTCTGCCACATCTACTCTCCGCCCTATGCATGATCCCTTCGCAAAGCAGACCAGCAGTGCAGCAGCCTCAGCTTGCAGGTGAAACAAGTGGCATTGCCTGGAAGCAAGGGAGTGAAGAAATTGGCAGCACACTTTTTGTCAATCTCAAGGAGGAAAGCTTTTGGCGGAACCACTGGCCCAAGCAGGCTAGCATGCCTGCAGGGTCATTGTGCTGTGCACACAGGCAAGCTTTATGCTCAGGCACCCGCGCAAGCAATGCATTAAAATTCTTTAATTTGGAATTTGGAACGCTTTCCAACTTTCTTTGGCATTGGGAGAATACCAAACCGAGCCTTAAGTTGCATGTCCAACTTCTTCTCACACTTTGTTGCAGCCTTTGCCTTTCTCCGTGCAACTCCCATGGCAGCTTCTGCTGGGGCAGCAATGGCTGCTGGTTTGGCTGGTGCTGCTCGGGCTGCTGTGTTATGCCAATCAACCGAAGAAAGAGCCAAGAGCATGGCAAGACCGACTGTCTGTAATTGCATCATGTTGCCTCCCATGCACTCCAGGTCACCGTCCGATACACCTTCTGGTATCACCATTCGATGAAGAGGCAAGCAGTGCAACAGCAGTTTTTCAGCTGGAATGAGACACCGGGCAGTTCCTGCAAGGACAATGTGACCTCCAGGGATGATAGTTGGCAAAGCCCCATCAGTGCGACAAGACATCCTGCCCAAGCTCTGAAAAATGTCAACTGAAATTAAAATTGAAAAGCAACAAAGTTAATTCATAAACCGCCCTTTGAAATCAACCCAAAATGACCTGCATTTGATGCGATCACCAAACATGCTTGGGTGATCAAGTCACAGTTTTCAGTTAACATCCTGCAATAAAAGGCAACCTATTGCCCCAAAAATGGTCATCACCTGATGCGATCACCAAACCAAGCTGGAAGAGCACAGGAAATCCCAACGTCCACTGCCAAGAAACCAATGTCAAGCCATCCCAAAGCAATCCAAAATCGTCCTCAGTCTGGCCGGTCCAGAATGGTCCAGAGGATGCTGCAGGGGCCGCGGGTGCCTGGTCTGTAGGCCCATCGCTGATCGTCGAAATCCCCTTTCAAGCACTCAGCCTTGCAGGGATTCTGTTATTAAGATTGCCGCAGAGAAATTTAAAAACCTGATGCTGCAACATCTCCCCTGATTCCAGTCCCTAACATGCCCTTGTAATCAAACCACTGCAATCGTTGACAACTAGTATGATTTTCCAGCCAATTAAATCAAATATATAACTATTATACACTAACTAGCCGGTTCACTAATAAAGTATGAAGGTTGATACTCTAAAATAACAAGCAAATGAACAGGCAATATTGCTGTTGCTGTTGCCATTGCTGTGGCCATTGCTGTGGCTGTTGCTGCTGTTGTTGCTGCCAGTGCTGCTGCGGTGGTGGCGGTGGGGTGCTGCTGCTGCTGCTGGTTGTGGCTGTGGCTGTGGCTGTAGTTGTGGTTGTGGTTGTGGTGGTTCTTGGTCTGGTCCTTGTTGCTGTTTTTGTTATTGTTATTTCTCTTCTTCCTGTTGTTGTTGTTCTTCTTCTTCCTTCTGAGAAAATCCCGAATCGTGTTTTTGTTATTGTTCTCATTGTTTGTGTTGTTCTTGTTCTCGTTTATATTATCAGTGTTATTGTTCTAATTCGTGTGTCTTGTCCTTGTCCTTGCCCTTTTCCTACCCATGCCCAGCCTGTAGTACCCAGCAGGGGCTGTCGAACTTCTTCTGCTGCACGTCAGCTGGCCAGAAGCTGAGGATATAAAGAAATCCTTCAGAAGACACCCAAATGGACTGGGTAGTTGGCCCTGGCTCGCCAAAGTCAAAAAAATTCGCATTGCCAGGATGGAGATTGTGGAGCAAGGCATAGTCTTCATTGTTGAGGTACTGCTTGGACTTGAGGGCATACCTCACACCTCCACGCTCTTGCTCTTCAATCTTGTGGCCAAAATGAATGCCAAATAAGGAGGCATTGATTGTGTCCTTGTTGCATTCCTCCAAAGAATTGAGGCGCAGGTTCCCTGCCATGGCGTCCAAATTGCGTAGCTCGGTGCCGCTGGTGCGGAGGTGGGCAAGGTCCAGGAACTTATTCGCCATGCTGAGAACGTCATTGGCATAGAGGAGCAGGGGCATCAAATTGCCCCCAGTGCCAATGGGAAGCGCCCATTCAGCCCATGCAAGGTTCTGATGACAGGGACCGGGAGACAAATTTAGCTTGGGAAGGAAATCCCACCAAACAAGTATGATGCAGAAAATAAGCATACCTTAGCAACAAAATGTCAAGTAATTTGCAACAAACATGTAATTCATTGATCAGTTCAATGATGTTTTGAGTGCTTTGTTTTCAAATTTCAAGGCTCCCCATCCTCCTCTGGCTCAAGAAGCGGGTATCCCCTGGCAGCACCGTTCATAGAGAAGGGTAAGATGAAGATGTTGCACAGAAGCGCTCCACCACCGCAGGGACCGGCCTCTGAGAACTGCTGGAGGAGCTCACGCACAATGGCAGCCAACTCAGCAGGGAAGCAATGAAACACCGGAGGATTAAAATTACCTCTAACAATTTCTAATATTCTTGGCGCCCCCATGACATGAAACGCAGATCCATGTCCAGAAAAATCTTCTTTGACCACATGATGCCGAGCTGCCACAGAGAACTTCTTTAGAACGCTATTGTGCGGAGGAATCAGCTGCAGCAAATCGCGGGCTTCCTCGACAATGTTGGCTTCGCTGGGCTGCAGGGTCAAACCTCAAGCATGCGCAAAAGCAGGCACAAAATGGATCCTCTATCAGATGAGCATTCTCGGAAAAAGTCCAACAAATGTGGAAATTAAAAACCTTATTAGGTCATATGGAAATGGAAAGCTTTAAGCTAAGTCACATCAAAGTGCCGACGGACATGGACATATTGTTCTTGTCAGCACCAGGGAAGAAACTCAACACCATGGTGTTAAATCCGAACGTTGCCCATGCGAAATCTTTGGACGTGTCGTAGACTTCATTGAAAATTGCAGGGGCATGGATGCGAGCCACAGCATGGTGCTTGATTTCTTCCTGGCCCAGCAGCAGACCTTCCATTCGCAAGCCAAAGGTGCTGCCAACAGCTTGCCTCACGCTCTCTGCGATATCCATTCGCTGGCGCTGGAGAGCAGCAGATTGGGCAGCTTGGGCTGCAGGGACAAGGCCAGTTTCAGATTGATGCACCACACTCCCTTCCACAACCAGCTCATCTGGCCCTGGCCCATCATCTCCATGCTCCGCTTCATTGTAGTCCTCAATCAGTGGCGCGACATCAGGAGGACCAGCCGGTGCTTTGGCAGCACGGGCAGCTTCTGCCACAGCAGGGTGGGCTGCTTCGGCAGCAGGAGCTCCGGATGAGCTGCTTCGGCAGCAGGTGCAGCTGCAAGATCAGCAGCGTCTGCAGCCTCCATGGCGGCCAATTCCTCTTCCAGGGCAGCAGCAGGAGCTGCCATCACCAGCACAAGAAGGCGAAGTGAACGCACAGGGGCGGCTTGGGCAAACCAGTGCTGGGGATGGAAGAATGAAGCAATCCATGCAGGGCTGCTAAAACTAGAATGCGCTTCATTAATTAATAAAAAGCATTAACCACAAACACTGCCGACCCCAGCACTGACAAGTCCAAGCCTTCTCCAAGTGCTGTAGTGGGAAAGGCAGCGGCAGCAGGAGCAGCAAGGTCAGGCCTGAGCTTGATGTAAATGCCATACTTAGACTAGAGGCTTATGAATGGAAATGTGATTGGGGATTTATAATGCATAATTTGACCCTTCAACGCGACGATATGACCCTTCAATGTCACGTTTTATTTTTTTTGCGCGTTGAAAGGTTCTGAGGGCGCGGCGAAGGGTCAGGATAATCAGGAAGATGAGGAATGCAGAGCCGCTTGGGCAGCGTGGCCAGGCAGGGATGCTGGAATGGAATGAACTACTACTAACTCAACCCTTTTGACTGGACAGTGGCTCACAGGTGTGAAGAAAACAGCAAAAAATAAAAAATGTCCGAATTGCCAAGGCAGTAAAGCAATGTTACCTCCCATGTTGGAATGTTGGTAATTACCGCTGGTAAAATAGCCGGGTAATGATAGAGCCAATTTCCCTATCCTATCCCATCCCGCTATATTGGTTGGTTAGAATAAAAAAAACATATTACGGATTATTGGCTTAGAATAGCACTCAAAACATTAGCTAGTATTCATTATTTAACCCCCACCAGATTAACCCATCAACGTACACTATTTCTAGTGGCTCAGTTCCCATCCCCATTCAGCCCCATCCCCATCCTATAATCCTATACAAGGCGAGGCCCATCGAGGCCCCATGAACTAGTTCGTTAGATCCCGCGCAAGCCCTAAGCTGTTTAGCAAGTTGTGTAAGTCAGCTTCGCCATCCTCAAAAATCCAAAAACATCTCCCCATTTGTCGAAAAAAAACCCTGGTAATTCAACAGTTTGCTATTGAAAATTGCCGAAATAGTTGATTTAGCCACTAAACATGGTGATTTTCTACAGCTATGTAAACGTTTACCAGAGGGTAGCTTTTCCTATGGCTTTTCCTATGGCTTTTCCTATGGTTTCCTCGGGGGCCCATCCCCGGTGCGCCCTGCACCTTCTGCGCCTCAGCCCGCCAGCGTCGAGCGCTGTAGGCCTCTCCATGCCACGACCTCGAGGCTGCGGATGGCGGTTTGGCCCATGACATCGTGGAGGCTGCGGCAACTCTCTGGAAATCATGATATCATGATACCCTCTGGTAATTTAACATAGCTATTGAAAATTGCCATTTATAGTGGATTTTCCCATTAAACATGGTGATTTTCCATAGTTATGTTAGTTTACTAGAGGGTAACATATGATAAAATCTCATGAAATCTCATGACATATGATGAAGTCTGATGACATATGATGACACATTCGACTATCATTTCTTGGAATCAACTGATAAACCATCCATTTTCTTGGGGTAAGCACATATACACAGATGTAAACACCACAGCACGATGAAGCCATCATGACTGAGAATGGCTGAGCAACAATTTGGTACAACTTGCACCAAGACCATACCCATATCGGATACATATCCTCTATGAACCCGAGGCATCAGATCTCTAGTCCTCTGTCAAAGATTCTTGTAGGACCCTGAAGCTCTGTAGAAGAGAGAAAACATTATATCCCCATTGATATCCCAAAAGGAATAAATTCTCACTGATATCCCATTGTCTGTTGGTTTACGGCATGGGGTTTCACCACATTAATACACTTCTGCTTGTTGTGAGCACGAAGCGGCTACCAGGCTTCAGAACTGAAATGGACGAGGAGACTCTTGCTGTGCATCCTGTGACGCAGACAGGATGCTCCGCCCGAGTCGATAAAATATAATATGCATATACATATACATATACATATACATATACATATACACACATACACATACACATACACATACACATATACATATACATATACATATACATATACAACAACAACAACCACCAACAACAACAGCAACAACAACAACAACAACCACCACCACCACAACAACAACAACAACACCAACAACACCAACAACGACCTGAACAACACCAGCACCAGCACCAGCACCAGCAGCAACAACAACATGTTCATCAGTGCGATGTCATTCAACCCCATCATTCTTTTCGACTTGTGTCCGGGAGAACTGTGAATCTTGCGTCTGGAGTGACAAACATCCCCTTCATGAAAGGCACCAACCTGCCGGTCTCCCTGCCGGCCTGCCGGTCTCTGCCTAAGTGTGAGGAGAATTCGACAAAGACTCCCGTTTAGGGATTGAATGCAGCATCACAACTACACAAATCATGTGGTGGGAAGTTTTACTTACAGTCAATTTTCAAGGTCCCAAAACATACACCTCCCCTGTAAACACGTTTCGCTGAGAATCGCCGAATCACGATCACCGAAAGCGCACAATCACATCCAAAATCTATGTACATTTACATCTATGTCAGTTGCCCCATGAATTGCGGAACCAGCACGATGAAACCAGCATATAGATGTATATAGTACATTTTCTTACGGATGTTAATATACATCACATGTGCCATGGTCAAAACATCCCAACTTGGGTGAATCCAATCCAAGTGGGTTGAACATTTGGGAACACTCCCCCAAAATCAAGTTCTCCAGAATCATCCAGAATCATTCTCTGATAAAATCACTATGTTTTGGGTATGCCGGTATGCGCCAGTTTCAAACACACCCGAATCATCTTAAGTTGGAGAATGTTGGAGATATCAAATATATTATATCCTCATTAATTACCCTCTGGTAATTTAACATAGCTATTGAACATGACCATAGAAATAGTGGATTTTCCCATTAAACATGGTGATTTTCCATAGTTATGTTAGTTTACCAGAGGGTACCCACCGACAATCAAACATGGCATTGTGAAATCCCCTATAAATGGAAGGTTTTAATTGGAGAATGACCCAGTCCGATCGGGCAGGTTCCGTTGCCATGTTTGATTACCGGAGGGTATGTCTTCATTAAAATCCCATTGAAATCATATTGCATCAGATTCCCACTTCATCAGATTTTTTTAAACTTATATAAACTTACTGGTGCTTAGTAGGGAATCTGGGGGAATGGGATTATTATGATTATGGATCATTGCCTCATTCCCTGCGTTAAACGCACCAGTAAGTAAGTTTTCATGAAAATCCCATGGAAATCCCATTAACATCCCATATTTCATCAAATTTCCATTGAAATCCCATCCCATAGGATCCATGTATGTTATATATGGTGACATTTACCATCAATATACCCCAAATGTTAGCATATATACCATACATGGATCCTATGGGCATTAAAACCACCATTCTCAGAGGCCATGGACTCCTCAAAAACACGGCAGCCGGCTCGGCTGTCCCGCGGGCTCTGGCGGCAGCCTCCAGACGTGGCCTGATTTCGCAGCCAGCAGGAGCCACGTTGGGAAAACGTTGGGCAAACGTTGGGAACATGTTGGAAGAATGCGGGAAAACACAAACATATGTTGGAAAATATCTTGGGAAACCAAGGGAAACCCACGTTTAACAACGTTTAACAATCCCATCGTAAAATGGGACACTAAAATGGGACACTGTTCGGTTTTCCTCAACACCTCATAATAGTATTAGGTGACTGGCTGGTGTTTTGTCGCCACCCATTTGGGATAATCATCCCATTGTCATGCTTGTGACCATATTTGAGACCACCAGCTGGTTTGTGGACCATACGTTGATCTCATGTAGATCCAGTTTCGGTTCCAGTCCGCGGGTGCGGGGCTGATATTTGCACGCATGGACTTGCGATCTTTGGACCCCACCACTTTGGACAAATCAGTGTTGCATCACATGGCTTTGTCTGAAGATAGGGTACCCCCAAAATGCCCTGGTTGATCATCAAATTATCTCTCTCAAAATTGCCATAACTGGAGCGGTTAAATCCACTTTTCAGACACACCCACATCATGGGGTCATGCCACATATGCGTGGATCGCATCGGTGCCTGAAACCTCACGATTTCGACATTGATTCCCCACCAATAGTCACCACCATTCATTTCATGAGGTCGTTGTGAGCTCCCTACAATTTCCCCAGATTGGCTTAATCTCAGAATGGGAATGTGATATCAAATTCCAACACACTTCTTTTCAACCATTGGATCCTCATCTCCTTTCACGGCATCTCCCAAAGTTTTCAAACAAACCCGTTTCTGGCAGTTTCCAATCAAAATGCCAGGGCTTTCTCCGCATAATTTTGCGATTTGAAGTGGCAAAATCCCACCATTTTCCCACGATTTTCCCAGCATTTTCCCACGATTTTGGCAATGAGAAACGTCCAAAACGTTGCGTTGCGTTTCCCAACTCCATTTTCGCCGCTCTCAGGCCATCGCGGAAGCGAGGCGGATCGCAGCATCTGCAGGCTGCGCCTTTGGAGACATGTCGCGTCTTGGAGACAGTGGGATATGATACCCGGCTGGTAAACTAACATAGCTATTGAAAATGGCCCATTTATAGTGAAATTACCCATTGAACATTGTGATTTTCCATTATTATGTTAGTTTACCAGAGGGTATCATATAAATCAACTATTGAAAATGGCACATTATGGCACATTTATAATATTTATAGTTGATTTATAGTTGATTTACCTATTGAAATCAACTATTGAAAATGGTCCATTTATAGTTGATTTACCTATTAACAATGGTGATTTTCCATAATCAGTATGTTAGTTTACCAGAGGGTAACATGAATATATCATAATGAATATTATCCCATATGAATGTACCCACAGAAGCTGGCAATCTTTTCGCCAACCATTGGCTATATCCAGCAAACAAATAAACGCTCCGAATCTTTAAAGTTCTCAACGTTGTGTATGTACTTACCCTCTGGTAAACTAACATAATTATGGAAAATCACCATTTTTAGTGGGTAAATCAACTATTTCGACTGGGCCATTTTCTATGTTAGTTTACCAGAGGGTAGGATGAT